AACTGCACCTCTGTTTCAATTTTTTTTTTCTGTATTGAAGCAAGTTTATATTTTATGTTTCTTTGCTTGGTTCTGCTTCTGTGCTTCATGAACTGTGCCTCTGTTTCGATTTTTTTTTTTTGTATTGAAGCAAGTTTATATTTTATGTTTCTTTGCTTGGTTCTGCTTCTGTGCTTCATGAACTGTGCCTCTGTTTTGATTTTTTTTTTTTCTGTATTGAAGCAAGTTTATATTTTATGTTTCTTTGCTTGGTTCTGCTTCTGTGCTTCATGAAGTGCACCTCTGTTTCAATTTTTTTTTTTTTGTATTGAAGCAAGTTTATATTTTATGTTTCTTTGCTTGGTTCTGCTTCTGTGCTTCATGAAGTGCGCCTCTGTTTCATTTTTTTTTTTCTGTATTGAAGCAAGTTTATATTTTATATTTCTTTGCTTGGTTCTGCTTCTGTGCTTCATGAACTGCGCCTCTGTTTCTTTTTTAACAGTGACATGGAAAGTGGATCAACAACCAATTCATCAAGATAAAAAACAAGCAGATCAGATGATGAGATTGGATGGAAATATAATAAGTTGCAAGATCCTAATAATTCAAGTCGGGTGGTCTGTAAATTTTGTAATAAAGTTACCACTGGTGGTATTACCAGAGCTAAAAGGCATCAAATAGGGATCAAAGGAGATGTGGCTCCATGTCCTAAATGCCCACCAGCAGTTAGGGAAGAGTTGTGGGCCAATTTACAACAGAAAACCACAACTAAAAAGTTAGAAAATGAGATGTTTATGTCTAGTTGTGGTACTGTTGATCTTGAAGAGGAAGATGAAGAGGAAGAACTTATGCCAAGGGAATCAACTTTAACTATTGGTGGTAGAAGTAAAAAGGCCAAAATTGGGCAACACAAAGGCCCCATGGATTTGTACATGTACCAAAAACCTAAGGAAACTCTCAAAAAGAGAAAGCTTGAAAAGTGTAGGCAATCTTCTATAAAAGATTCTAACAAAGAGTTGAGGGCTGAAACAATTTAATACATTGCTCGGTTCTTCTACCAAAATGGCATCTCTTTCAATGTAGCTTGTTCAGAAAGTTTCAAGTTAATGGTAGAAGCAATTGGACAATATGGAAAAAATCTCAAGCCTCTTAGTTACCATGAATTGAGGGTTTCATGCTTAAATAAGGAGTTGGAGTACACTAAAAAATTAATGGAGTATCATAAGAAACAATGGCCAAGATATGGGGTCACTATTATGTCCAATGGATGGACGGATAGGAGGCAGAGGAGTATAATCAATTTTTTGGTTAATTCTCCTGCAGGTACAATGTTTGTAAAATCTATTGATGCTTCTGCTTTTGTCAAAAGTGGGGAAAAGCTATTTGAGTTGATTGATAGCGTTGTGGAGGAGATTGGGGAAAAACATGTAGTTCAACTTGTAACAGATAATGGGAGCAATTATGTTCTAGCTGGTAAGTATAGTTATTCTATTGTATTTGTTATTTACTTAACTTTAAATTTAATTTATTAATGCATTTTGTTTTATTTCTCTTAGGTAAATTATTGGAAGAGAAGAGAAAGCACATATTTTGGACTCCATGTGCAGCGCATTGTATTGA